TTATATGTAATTTAATTCTTATCGGATAATTTTTATTTTTGAATTTTAATATAAATTTCATTAGTCATAATATAGATAATTAATTTTAAAATTATATCTTAGTATACCTGGTTATATTTTAATGTTAATATGGCAACAATTTATGTGATAATCATAAATTAAGGAAATTCAAGTATATTTGGACGGTTTTATTTTATCTAAATTTTGAAAGTATTGACAAATTTATATTATTATAAAATTTTAAATATTTAATAAAATAAGATTATATTTATCTTTTTAATAGTTTAATCAATACTGTGAAATTTACAGGGTTTTATATAGATTTAATTTACATTTAATTCGATTAATTAACACATTTTATACATTGTTGTAAATTGGGACGATAAAATAATAATTTTTTATTTTATTTGCATGATACTCCTTTCATTTTTTTTCATAGTTGTTTTTTCAGTATTTTGTTATTTTTTTTCATTGTCATTTTACTAAAATTAATGACATATTATTTTTTTTTCCATTTTTACCCTTGATAATATATGTTTACTGAATAATGTGTCTATTTATTTATAATGTCTACCTATTTTTTCTCAACCACCTATGTGAAATTAATGTTTCATTTATGAGAGCAATATGTTTCCAATGAAATATAAAAAAACAGAAAAAGGGACAACTATTTACAAGACTCTTTAACTTTAAAAAGGGTAGAAGACTCTATGTACACAAATTAACAGTTTCAAGACTTGAATGCAAAAAAAAATAAAAAAATAAAAAAAAAGGTATAAAAGGAAAGTAAGTAATAAATATTTTTAAAAACTAAAATATCAATCATTTCTTTAAGTCCTATGCAAAACCTTAAACGATTATGAAAAAAAAATGGAAGGAGTAATAATTGAAGGGTGATATTTATTTAACATGTGTTCTTTTCATGGAAATTAAATTTTCACACGTTTTACAAAATAAAAACATGTAATCTTACTCTAATTAATGTTGTCATCTAAAAAATATGCTTTCATTTAATTAAGATTGTATTTTCAATGTCTCTTTTTATTCTTGATATCAAGTTTCAAGAAGGGATGGTAAAAGAAAATAAGTTAATTTTTAGATGAGATTAGCAACATTAAATGATTGAAACAACCTTTTTTAATTGTCATCAATAGAATTGAGACACTTTGTGTCTTTACATTTTATTTAATAAAAACGTTTAAGAATTATCAATATTTTTTAGATCAACTATTGTTGCATCTAATATTCAAATCTTAAGGTCTTAAGTTCGAATCTTATGTTTTAAAAGTTAATTTTTAATATTATTTTTTCATGCGAAAGTAATTTAAATCTATTTATCACCTTTTATTGATTTGTGTAAAAAAATTATTTAATATAAAATAGTTTGGATCTATTCATTATCTTTTATTGGTTTGTGTAAAAAAAACATTAAGATAATACTCCATCTAAACCTATATTTTTTTTATACAAATCCAGGCTACTTTATATAAATCAAAACTACTTTTATCGGTTTTTATTTTACACAAACCAATAAAAATTAATAAATAAATCCAAACTAATTTATATTAAATATTTTTTTTATGTAAACTAATTAAAGGTAATAAAATAGATTTAAACTATTTTATATTAAAAGAATAAATGCAAAATATTGACCGAGGGATTAAATTTTTTATATGAAAGTAGTTTTTTTTCTTATATATAGGGTTCAGATGGAGTATTGTCCTAAATTTTTTTACACAAATCAATAAAAGATTTTAAATAGATGAAATATAATTGTAATTTATAAAACTAATCTTATATAATTAATCTTTTTTATTAGAAACAATATAACACAATAACCATTTTCTAAAATATATATTTATGTTAAATTATATAACCACTCATATTTGATTGAATAAGAGATTTGGTTTTCAATTCAAGAGGTTTGATATTTATTAAGTATTAGGAAATAATTACTTAACGAGTGTGTTTTTTACCATGATATTAATAGGATTATCTTCTAATCTTGTTAGGAACTAATCTTTCTTGAAACATTGATTATATTATGAGTATCTTTTTTGGCATCATCTTTTAACAAATTCAAAATTTGAATTCGAGAACTTAAAATTTAAAAATCAATCGCAACATTAATTAAAACAATGAACATTGATTTATCTAATAGTATTGTAATTCAAACATTCATTCATTGGTTATTATATACATATTTATTATATTTATGTATTTTATTTAAAAAATATTTTATACTATAAAGTAAAAAAGTTTTCACAATTTTTTTCAACTCAAACTAAAAGGATATTTGAAACAATTTCTTTTAGTTATTTTACATATTTTTAATAATTATATTAATTAGAAGAACATTTAATAGAAATTGAGATTTAAATAAACATTTATTATAATGTTACAAGGACGGGGAGGGAGGATATTGGGTTTTAACGATATTATGATTTAATAAATAAATTATATTAATTAACATGGTATTTAATAGAAGGTGAATTTAATGATGGCGTTAATGAGGATTTGAGTAGATGCTCTTATTTATTGGTTATTATACATTCATTTAATATATTTATGAATTTTAATTTTTAAACATAAAAATATCACTTGTAAAAATCAAATAAAAATATTAAAGATATTATTCTTTTTTATTTTTTTTATGTAAGACTCAATTACCTAATTTATTATGATTAAGTAAATTGGCTAATTTTGTTAAAAAATGCAATTTGGTTAATTTAATTGATAAAATTATTTTTTTACATATCTATACTTATATAATGATTCTTTGTTTTGCATACACATTTATTTAGAACAATTTTAACCTTTTAAGTAAAAATAAGAAGTTATTAAATTGTTCAAATGAAATAAATTTGATGAAAAAGAAATGTTAAGAATACCTTTTCTTTCACATTCTTTTGAACTCTTTTTTATTGGTTGAAAATTATTGTTCACATCTTATATAATGGATTTTTTTTTATCATGATTTTGTAAATTTCAATGAATTTTAACTATTAAAAGAGTGAGTTAAGATAATATTTTAAAAAAATATTATTAGCACTTATTTTTGATTAAGAGTGATAATCATGCACAAACTTTTGATAAAGGTATTGTGACACCCTTTGTCCTAAAACATTTTTTTTATCCTTAATATGCAATACATTTCAATGACTTTAGTATAACAATGAGGTAGTGGTAAAAAGAATATCATCTAAGGCTCTCTATTGAATACCTTCTCTCAATCTATTATTAGGTCAAAATTTCTATGAAAAAGCCATGTCCATTATTTACTATTGCTAGTTTCCTTATAAATTTTTGAATAGCCTTTAGCCAGACTCACATCATTAAAAAAATCAATTATCTTCCCCATGACTTGATAATCACAACCCCTCCTTGGTAACCATAACTTTTGTGAATAATATAACACTTTGACACTTCAATTTGTCTCCATTTTCTAGTTTAATTTTGAAGAGGTTCCTTCTATTAAGATCCATTTGTGGCAAAAAAAGGTTGAGTTCTCGTCAACTTATTACAAAACAAAATCTTTGGTTGATGACAACTCCTACCCTCATCCAAAAGGTTTAGGAAAAGAGGGAATGTGTTTAGGAAAACCATTTCCATTTAGAGAAAGATCTAATGCATATTAACTCAAAATCTTATGGATTTATCTTATTCTTGTCATTCAATAATCCACAACAATAATTTATTCCCTAATTCTAAACTTATCATTCTATTAAATGGGTGAATTAATAAACACTTGAATGATAAGAAATAAAATTCATTAATCAACGTGTAAAACACTCCCGTAGTTGAACATTAAATTAAAAAGCACCTAATGCATATTTCTACCCCTAATCTAAAAACCCCATTGCCATATTTGACTAAACTTTTGACACTCCATTGTTGCACCATCAACAATGTTATGTTTATTTCCCCCATAATTAACAAAACTATACAAAACAAATATCAATTTTCATAAATCATTATCTTTGTTATGTCACCCTCAAAATCATCGCAAAACCACTGTCACTTCTTGTACCATTGTAATTAACAAAGATGTAGAGTTATTGATCATCATGATATAATTTGAAATCATTATGGCATTAAATCATAAAAGTCATATTTTTGCAAGAATTTTGGATGTTTTCCTCCTATTTTTTCTTCTTCTCATATGTATAGTATGATACTAAATATTTGTTAATTCTTAAAAATTAAGACCATGTTTACATATGTATAGTATGATACTAAATATTTGTTAATTCTTAAAAATTAAGACCATGTTTACTTTATCATTTTCAAGACAAAAATATTTGTTGAACTCAATGATACAAGAGACATAAAATGACATTAAGGTACATTGGAACGTGTGCTAACTAATAAACAAGTACGTAGTAAATATTTATTTGAAAAATAAAATTTTTCTACTTTTCAAAATAAAAAACTAATACTAATATGATGTTACTTGTTAAATATAAAATCGTACTTGCAATACAAACACATCCAAACTCTTTCTCCCTTTTCTTAAATATTATAGTACAAGACCATGATACCCTTATGCAATTTTAGAATTTTTGCAAACAAACAAACAAACTCCAACCATGTATACCTCCTACAAATAGGATTTTTACTCGCTCATTGATAACCCATATATAACGATTGACTTAAGAAAAGATATCTTATTACGAACAAAACAAGAAACTTTCACTTATACCATTTTTGCATGCGATATTTAATAAATCCATGGAAACAGATTTCATTTTGTGCTAATTTCCTTTTGTCATTTTCTCACTTTTCCTTGTCATACTAATTCAGCTGTCGAAATCTGGCCCGTTCATTTCTCAACTCAGTTTTCACCATTCCGCTTGACCCAAGGGGCCACCTAGGGAAGAACCTCGTTATGATTATAATCACGTTTTCTTCAAATGTCCAACCAGGTGTCGCCACGTCAATGTATTGATATGAAAACAGCGTCACTTTGTGTGCTCGCTAGCACCTGATCTTTCTGGAGCCACATAAAGACAGAGGAACCGAAAAATTCGATCTCTCTTTCTCTCTCTAACTAAAGAAGCTGCTTCGGTTTTGGGGAGTTTCATGGACTCAGACTGAAGCCTAGTTTAATCTGCGAAACCCATTTCAGGTTCGTTCCAGTTTTCATCTTTGCGTCTCAAAAATATGATTTTGTGAGCTAATCTTGGAGTCCTTACCCTGGATTTGATTTTCTACCCCATTTTGAAACCCTAGGATCTGATCTGAATTGGTATATAAAGTTTGTATTTTTATACCTGTGTGTGTCACCATTTTCTGGTTCTTTTCGTCATTCAAGGTTGTTGTTTTGCATTTTTTTTTCTTTGCGTCGTTAGATTTTATTTTTTCAATTTTAACGTCACCATTTTCTGGTTCTTTTCGTCCCTTCAAGGTGGTTGGTTTGCATTTTTTTTGCGTCGTTAGATTTTATTTTGGTGTTTGTTAGATTTTTTTTTTCCTTTCAATTTTAACCTCTTTTATCTGAGTGGGGGTGGCTGTAAGATAATCATATGGTTCTGTTCGGAAATTGATTTTTTTGTTTTTTTTTTTATTCGTGTTGGATATATTTATTCTTTTTGTAATTTCTCTGGCTTCTAACTCGAGATTTTGTTGCATGTTACAGGAACTGTGTTGTGTCGTTTTTCTCAGTGTTGACTCCGAGAATTGTATCTTTGATCCCTTGCAGTTTTATCCATTGTACTTAATTTATGTTACCTAGCATTTCATTGATTTTTCTGATCAATAGAGTGGATAGCGTCCTCTTTGGTTAGTGTTAGCTGGTTCTGTACACTGAGATTGTTTGGTGCTAAACTTTGTGGAAGTGTGTGTTTGTACTTTGTACTACTTTAAAATTGTATCAATGGAACACCATTTTGGTCAAGACACAGCACCTGCATCTGGGTCCTTTGATAAGACCAGGGTTTTAAATGTGAAGCCATTGAGAACTCTTGTTCCTGTGTTCCCTTCACCATCTAATCCTGCTTCATCATCGAATCCACAAGGTGGTGCTCCTTTTGTTTGTGTTTCTCCTTCTGGTCCTTTTCCTTCTGGGGTTGCTCCTTTCTATCCTTTCTTTATCTCCCCGGAATCCCAGAGGCTTTCTGAACAAAATGTGCAAACCCCGACTGCCCAACGTGTGCCTGCAGCTCCAATATCTACTGCAGTTCCAATTAATTCATTTAGGACACCAACTGGGGCTGCAAATGGGGATGTGGGCTCGTCACGAAAGAGTACCCGGAGTCGTAGGCAGGTCATAGAGGATGATGGATACAGTAATGTTGAGATTGATGAATTTGATGTAGAAGATGGAACTGGGACTGGGAGGTCAAAGCGCAAGCCACAGAAGAAGGCAAAGGCACAGCAGAGTGGTGGTTCTGTTTCTGCCGATGTTGATCCGGATGCAGTGGCTGCTGATATTCTCAAATCACTTAACCCTATGGTCTTTGATGTACTAAATCAACCAGAAGGTAGCAGGGACTCTGTTGCATATACACTCATGATATACGAAGTGATGCGGAGAAAGCTGGGACAAATTGAAGATTCAAATAGGGCAGCTAACTCTGGAGCAAAACGGCCTGATTTGAAGGCAGGTGCAATTATGATGAATAAAGGGATTCGGACCAACAGCAAGAAGCGTATTGGACTTGTTCCTGGTGTTGAGATTGGGGATATTTTCTATTTCAGATTTGAATTGTGCTTAGTGGGTTTACATGCTCCTTCTATGGCTGGAATTGATTACATCGGTTCCAAAACTAGTCAAGAGGAAGAGCCCTTAGCTGTAAGTATTGTCTCATCTGGAGGGTATGAAGATAATGTGGAGGATGGGGATGTACTGATTTACAGTGGCCAAGGTGGGGTTAACCGTGACAAGGGAGCAAGTGATCAAAAGCTTGAAAGGGGTAATCTTGCATTGGAGAAGAGTGCACATAGAGGTAATGAAGTGAGAGTAATTAGGGGTTTGAGGGATGTACAACATCCAACTGGGAAGGTATATGTCTATGATGGCCTTTACAAGATTCAAGATTCCTGGGTGGAGAAAGCAAAATCTGGTTTCAATGTTTTCAAGTATAAGTTAGTCAGGTTGCCTGGACAGCCTCAAGCATATATGATTTGGAAATCTGTTCAACAATGGACTGAGAAATCTGCTTCAAGAACAGGGATTATATTGCCTGATCTTACTTCAGGGGCAGAAAAGGTACCTGTTTGTCTTGTGAATGATGTTGATACTGAGAAGGGCCCTGCACATTTCACTTACATCAAAGATCTCAAGAATTTGAGGCCAGCTGCTCCTGTGGAATCTTCTACAGGGTGTTCTTGTGTTGGTGGATGTCAAGCTACCAATTTTGACTGTCCTTGCATTCACAAGAATGGAGGATATCTACCATATTCTGCAGCTTCATTACTTGCGGACCTAAAATCTGTGATATATGAGTGTGGTCCTTCTTGTCAGTGTCCTCCTAGTTGCCGAAATCGGGTTTCCCAAGGTGGCCTGAAATTTCGTTTGGAGGTTTATAAAACCAAGAATAAAGGTTGGGGTCTTAGATCATGGGATGCAATTCGTGCAGGAACATTCATATGTGAGTATGCAGGGGAAGTCATAAATAATGCTAGAGTAGAGGAGCTTGGTGGTGACAATGAAGATGATTACATTTTTGATTCGACTCGCATTTATCAGCAACTGGAGGTTTTTCCTGGTGATACTGAAGCTCCAAAAATCCCATCCCCCCTTTATATATCAGCAAGAGCAGAAGGGAATGTTGCTCGGTTTATGAATCACAGCTGCTCTCCCAATGTATTGTGGCGTCCAGTCATTCGTGAAAATAAGAATGAGTCAGATCTTCACATTGCATTCTATGCAATTAGACATATCCCTCCTATGATGGAGTTAACTTATGATTATGGGGTAGTGCTTCCTCTCAAAGTAGGTCAGAGGAAAAAGAAATGCTTATGTGGATCTGTAAAGTGCAGGGGTTACTTTTGTTAATTGTCTGATGAGTTTTGGACGAGCTGGCCTCTGTGATTATACTTAAGGATAAGGTTAGTCTACATGTTCTCAAATTACTTTCTTATAAACTAAATAATTCTTCTTTTTTACTTTGTTCTTCCCATTATCCCTATCATGTACTTTTCATGATTAATATTTAAGCTTTGGTGTTAGTGATTTCATAAATTATGACTTCAGGAAGTTTGCAACTCCAGTTTTTTAATTTCTAGGCCTGTTTTGTCACTGCGCTTTGTCATAGATGAACTAGAGTGTGGTTCTAATTGTAATATTGAAACTTCAGGCCAAATGTTTAGTAGATTTATGTAATTATGTGATACATACATGGTTAATTTTTGAAATCTTTTGCTGTAGCAAGGAAGACTATGCTTGTACTATGCATTTTTGTTTACTAATATTAATGATTGTTTTTTGTAGCATAGCTAGCTTTTATACATAAGTAAATTAATTACTACCTTCATTCCTATTTATAAAACTCAACTTAGATTAGAACAATTGTTTATTCTTTTATATAAGATCGAATTCACGTTGTCTCATACATTAATTATTTTTTTACTAAAATACCCCTAATTATAGTGTACCCCTAATTAAACTATGTTCACTTAATTTGATAAAATGCATTAGTTATAAACTTTTTTTACAGAACATGCACTCTAATTTATTAGGGGAAAGATGAATATTAGTTAGGAAGGAAAAATAATGTAAGACATTCACTCTAATTGGTTAGAAGATATATGAGTATTAATTAGAAGAGAGAAGTAATATAAGGATAATTTTAGAAAAAAAAAATATAAATAGGACAAATTTATTGTTATTAATTAAATTAATTATTTTTCTTAATCTTGGATTCTTGGTGCATTAGATGATTGTGTCTTTTATATATAGGAATGGAGATAATACATTGCAACTCCCTTTTGTTATCATTGAAATACCTTTCCCTCCTTATTGTTGCCATCCCTGTTACCTCTTGATAATAAAATGTTATAGAATTTTCCCCTGCAAAAACATACAGAGAAATAACTTGAAGGGCATTGTAAATTGGTAATAATATACTTTCAAAGGATTATTTCAGTAGAAAGTAGAAATTGTTTACTTTGACTTAAATTTGCTAGCAGTGCAAATCTTCAATTTGAAGTAAATTAATTATATTGGTTTTTGTTTCTCAGCTATAGCTAAGTCAGACAGCAGGATGGAACTATGTAGAAAGATGTAGCAGACAAACTTTTCCTTTTGGCAAATCCTAGACTAGTGAATTGGCACTTGAATATGATCAAGTTGTCTATTTACTAAATGTGGATAAGTTAAGGTTGTAAAAGTTAACTGTAAGACCCATTTTGTGTAGTTTGTTTCTTTCTCTAGGGATGGATTTTGAGTAGGTCTTTTAGGCCACATGGTAAGGGCGAACATCATATGTAGAATTGAATATTTAGTTGACAACATTTTCAGAAATCATCCTGATATTCTATTCTTTTGCATATGCTTTGTCTATTCCAACAAAGTGCAGCAAATCATTCTAACACACTGTTATTGGTTGAAAATTATTGAAAACTACAAAATCATTTGTAGGTTCACTAAATAAGGAGTGTGAGATTCACACAATTTTGTGATTTTCAACTAATTTTGATCGATAATAATGTTAGAAGATGCATTATTAGCATTTATCCTTTTATCGGTTTAAACTTACAAGTATAGCTCTTAGATGGTTCCAAAAATTTCCTGTGCTTTTCTGAAAAGAAATCAGAGAAAACGAATGTTAGTTTGAATTCAAAGGCGCGCGCGTGTTCGAAGTTCGAAATAGCAATCGATATGGGATCGTTTCTTCTCTCCATTTGTTCCTATATTTTAAGAAACAAATATAATTCCTTGTTCAAATTATTTCGCATGAAAAAATAACAAGTTGTTTTTGTGTAGGATATTTTTAATATATTTAAAAATTAAATTCCTTTCTTAAAACTTCTCATTTAAGCACAGTATTAGAGTATTTTAAAATTTTCAAAATGTCTTGTAATAACGCTATTAATTTTAGATTTTTTAATATATTTCATTCTGAAAGACTGAAACTTGTAAAAGTAATTAAACTTGTGCATACTTAACGCTGAGGTCCACACCAGCTTTCAATAACCTTTTCTTATAATATAAGCATGAGCTTCAAATTTACCAATAAGTGAGAGTGACTTTCGAAGTTATTTTTGGATCAGAATGTTTTTAGAAGTTATTTTTACTCGTATATTTTATTTTTCATAAATGTTTTGAATTTCAATTTGATTTAAGTTTTAATATATGATATCAAATTGAATATATTTTTATTGTTTAGATAAATTATACTTTAAGATTATTATAGTCTTAATAATTTATTCTTATAAATAATAATATGCAACTTGGAGACTATTTTTTTTCTTCATTTTCACAAGAGATGAATATTCTTTTGTTTTTTTATATGTATTTAACAAGTTACATTTTTATCTAATCAAAAATTCTTTTGCAACTCTCTCTCTTATATATATATATTATAGAGATATTTTCTTACTTTTTGTAGATTTATTTTATTAAGTAACTTATATTTTATATCAAATTTGAACGATCTAATCGTTAAATTAAAATTTTTTAATACATAAATTAAGTTTGTAATTTTAAAAAAAAATCATATGGTACTTGGTCATATAATTCAAATCAACATATAAAAGATTTTCATTATTATCTATCAATTTGAATTAATGAAATGAAATATTAAATAATTTTAATTTTTTTAAAAAATTACAGACTTGATTAATCTATAATTAATAATTTTTTATTTAACAGTTGAATTGTTAAAATTTAATGTAAAATATCAATTATTAAACAGTAAGTCTATTAAGATTTACTCTTAGAATAAATTGATCATTCCTTATATATATATATATATAATTATTGATATTTTCAAAAATTCTTAAAATTTAATTTAAAAATAA